TTAGTAGGGTTGATATTTTCAAATTAAGGTCCCCAAATTTCAGCATCATCCGATTTCAGCATCATCCCCGACATTAATTAACTTTGCAACCTCCTATTAGCATTAATTCGAGTCAGCCAACCCAAATATTTAACTAAAAAAAATTGCTGTTAAATTAAGAACAGGATTCGCTATTATTTTAAGTTAGAAAGAACTTCATTAATGCAAACAATTTGCAAAGCAACCTTTTTTAGCACATTGAAGTTTTAATACACTTGATCTAAAAATTTGGTTGGCTGCTGAAATATTTTAGGGTAGCGACACTAGTGCTGCTAAAACTCCCAGCGTATGGGCAGCGCAAGACTTTTTGAAAATTGCAAATTTAACCGAAAGTTAAAAGTATTATTAAAAAGTTAACATACACCAAATAGTAATAGATTATAATAGTTAACACAGATATTTTATATAACTACCGAGCTAATCATTTCAATTATCTTCATTTAGTCGTTGAGCATAATTTGAAAAGGTGCTACCTTCTGTTCCATAGAACTTATTACCTTTTGATACTACTAGTAAATCTACTAACGGTATTAGAAATTCATACAAAATCATACCATCTTTAGGATTTTTCAAAAATTTTAAAGGTTCTAAAAGGTCATTAAAATCATCTAATATATAAGCACATGAGAAAGTTTGAAAAAACGATTGAAGGAAAATGTGATCTCTTTTTAAATCTATTGCTAAAAATATTTTTGATGTTAAACAAACGTTATCTTTAAAATCTGTTTTAATTCTTTTTATAAGTTCTTCTATTGTGTTATTTTGATTTATGCGAAAGCGGCCATTTCCTAATCTTGCGTGTACACCAATAAAACCATTTGTTCCACCAATTTTATCAATAATTTTGTCCATAATATTAATCATAGTTGGATTGTTCGGTAACATATTATTCATTAATTTATTCCAAAATTCAATGCTTTCAGATAATTGTCGAACGATTCTAGTTGATGAAAACACACTTCCAAAACTTATTAATTTTTCGGATCTTTTGCTTAAGTCAATTAAGTTCACTCGTTCTTTAAATATACCAAGTTCAATTGTTGATGTAGCGTTATCATAATATCGTTGCTGATATTGATCTTCGTCTCTAGTCACATTATACACTCCTGTACTATTATCAATGTTAAGTGATGCCAAAAATATTTAAAATCAAAATCTTGACGATAAATATATTTAATATTATGCTTCAAAAATGTAAAATCCATTAACTCCTCCCAATTATACATTGTATAAGTTATCATCTTGCACGTCTCTTTTGTAAAACAGAATTTAAATTGATTTTTGTTTAGATGTATAGATTGTGATAAAAAATCGTAAAGTTCATCATATGGCTTGTATAAACATCGCATACATGGTGCATACCCTTTAAAAAGAAGGAGAGGTGGAATTATCAGAGTTCTATTTAAAAACCATGCCAAGAAGATTGCATTTTCTAATGCAATTCTTTGATTATTGAAACCACTATGGGGAAGGTAGGTTAAATATTTTTCTGTATTGAATGCTAAATTACTAACATTATCTGACTTTTGATTTATAATATGAAATATTATAAATAGAATTACAAAAATAAAAGTCAATTGAATCTTTAATGTCTTGGGAGCCATTTGATTCAAAAGGCTCACGATTTTTCGTCTTATTTTATACAGTCAAACTAAAGTATGGCGTCGTAATTCAAATTATGATATGTAGTAATGTAGTAATTATTTACTACAAAAGTAGTAATTGTAATAATATTTAGTACATGTAGTAATATTTTATTATATGTTGTAATTATTATTACAGGTAGTAATTACTACTACATGTAGTAATTATTATTACAGGTAGTAACTATCATTACATGTAGTAATTATTACTACATGTATTAATTACTAGTAAATGTTTAGCATTATGTGTACTATAAAGAAATACTTCAACGTATCTAGTCGATATAATTATTGTGACTGATTAAAATGAAACCGGATTAAAACGAAATTAGGGATAATGTAAAATAGACAAGCGACCAAAAATTACAAATTTTTGGGGGCGCTTTTTTAGCATTTTTTTTAGGGTTTGGATTAGGGTTTAGTAGTAGGTTCTATAATACAGTCTAGGATTATACGCGATATGGAAATGATATTAGAAGGGTATTCTAAACCCGATTTCAATTGAAAAAACAAAAAGCATTTTTTATTATTTGAAAATAACCATCAGTTTTAAAAAATCCTTTAAATTTCTTTACAAAAAGTATCCTAAGGCTATGTAGTTTAGGAATCCCTGGGGATCCCTGAGGCTTTATAAGGCGGTTTTGCACTAAATAACAAAAGTGTAACAACGTAGTCAATAATTTGGCCAAAATTTTGTCAAAATTTGTACTACAGAATTGTAGATCTTTACCAAAAAAATGAAATGATCTGCATTACACAAGTTTGAAAAATCCCTGACTGTAATAAACAAGTATAATTAGGTTTTAGGGGGTCAAATATAAACCCCTAATTTCATTTTAATCCAATTTCATGATAATCTGCGACAATTATTAAGCATAACGATAACGATAATAATAATAAAGTAATAGTGACGACCAGATCGTGAGAATTATTATGCATTAATTGACCAACCAGGATAACTGAAGCAGATGGACTATTTCGTCACGTGATCATTGCGATCACTTGCTCTCGTAAAAAGTGTTCTCCCGCTCTGGACAATATTATATATAAGTTAATAATTACTACATTTACTACATGTAGTAAATGTAGTAATATTAGTAATATTACTACATGTAGTAAATGTAATAATATTACTACATGTAGTAAATGTAGTAATATTACTACAATTACGGTTGTAAAAAACCTTTGTAAAAATATATGCAGTAAATATAATTGTAGTAATTAGCTATTTACGGCACCATACTTTAAGTCAAACCCCTTTAAATTTAACGCCCTAAATGCAACCCCTAAATGCATGCATAGAGCTACGGCTATAGCAGGTTAACGAGAATTCTTCGTGTGTTCTTTTGCATGTATATTTGTTTGAAGATAATTCCTATTTGTACACGGGCAATATAGATATCTCAAAATATTGATTATTAAACCACTTTTTGGCTTCTAATAAAAAAAATTCCTTGTGAAAGTTTTGGCATAAGCTATACCTAAATCCATCCTTATCCTGACCATAAGCAAGGGTTTAATTTTTCATTTGTAAAAATTGTTTTGATTGGCATGTTACACCAATCTGTGTGTAAACAAATCCGTGTAACATATAAACCAAAAAAAATTGTAAACGAAACAATAAAGGATTAGGTGGTAAAGGTTGGTTTGGGATGGGACGAGGTTTAGTTTATACTAAAATTTCGCAAGGAAGTTTTTTTATTGATGCCCAAAAAGATGATTTCATAAGTGAAATTTTTAGTTATAATCGATTTTTTAAGGAATGCAATATAGTAGAGGTTAGGCAAAACTATTTTTTGGCAAATGGCAAAAGTCGAAACTAAACCCGGCGAAAGTCAAAACTGGCAAAGCTCTGGCGAAACGGCGAAACTCTGGCAAAACCCCGGTAAAGCTAAAACCCTGGAGAAAGTCAAACACAACGAAGATCAAATCCTCTAAGACTTTAGAAGCACAGCTTGTGGTGTATAATATACAAAAGCAATAAACAAAGCGATAGCCTTTTGTTTTATTCGAGTACTATTAAAAAATCTAGACTTCAGGCCTTTGAACTTATAATAAATAAATTCAGCCTTGAAAATTCAAAGCATGAAATCTTTTTTCTTTTAGTAGCGCTATCTATGCATTATCATTATTCATGTAAAATAAACTTATCTAAATATTTACAGCTGTTTTTTATATATTTATAGCTGTTTCAAAAAGGTGTGAACAACGATTTCCACATACCTAAGTGGGAATTGAAGAATTGGAAAATCATCATTAGTAAAAATTGAAGATCCAATTAAAGCTGGCTTTGAAAGCTTTGACAATCTGGGTAATTTCGTGAATTTCCCGTGATATAGTTATTTGTGTCTGCTCACACCTTTTGAAAACAGCTATAAATTTATTGTTATATTGTTAAGATTTTTTTTTAACGTATTATTGTTGAAATTTTAATTAAATACTATACATATGTAAGTAATTTGTTAACATTACTATTATTGACAATTATTTCTCAATGCTCTATTCTAAATCTCTAGGCCAAGGTTTAGGCAGATTAATGATACTGATATTGAGCTATAAATTGTTTGGACTGTTAGTGTATTGTGGTATTTAGAGGGCAAGATAAAGCTGGAATTAGCAGTATATTAGAGAATGAGTAGGTGGTATTTTGTATATGTTGTTATAAATTTTGGTAGGTTGTACTATAAGTATATTGTTTAGTTAAGTGTGAAGAGCAGATTTATAATTCTGTGTTTGAATTCTTGTAATCATTTGAGGCTATATAGAGTGTTCTATATTAAAAAAGCCTATTTTTACAATTTTTCAAAATGAGTTTTTGTTATATTTATATAAATTTTGACAAGTTTATTATTTTTTAATTAAAATAAAAGTCAATTTGTATAATGAAGAATAAAGATAATTACAAGAAACTGTCTAAGACCAAGCATATTACAAGATTACCTAATAGTTATCTGTTACCTTTAACCAATCAAAATTATTAATTCTAGATCAGTTTAAAAATTAAAAACAAATGATTAAACTCAATTATCTCAAAATAAAGCATATGTAAAAATGGGCCCTTTTAATATAGAACACTTTATATATTTGGTGATGAAATATCATTAAATTTGGAATAGTTTTTGCAAGTTCAGCCTTGTATTTTACTAGTTAGATATATTAGTTAGTTATATAGTAATTACTAGCTTAAAAAATATATATATTTATTGTTTAATATAAAAAGCAAGATATAAATACAGAAGGGTGTGGCAACATAGAGTAGTGGTTAAGTTGTTATCCCCAAGCGGTAGGTCTAGAGTTCGATTCCTACCGGAGATATTTTTCAAAAAATAGGCCTGTGTTTTAGTAACATTTATTCAACGATTGGTTGGGTATATCACCTGTAACTAGTGTTTCGAAGTTCAGTTCAGTTCAATTTAGGTT